AATGCCAAATCCGGCGAAACAACTGGCCGCTGTGATACAATTGTACAATAATAATATCCACCCATTTCAGTTGCATGCTAGCTATTGTATAATAAAAAACATTTACAACCAAGACCCGTTTGGTTTTATGACCCATTTACAGGATAGCCTCCAGGATAGCCTTTCCAGCTATACTAATTTAGTGCTATTTCTGTTAAAAAAAGAGAGTCAGTTTTGAACTATATGATAAAATTGCTGTGCTATTTTTCTAGATCCATGAAGAAAAGAACTCTCCCATAAAAGAACATAGTTTAACACCGATTCCAGCCATCTCCCGAACATCTTGCCCACCAAACAAGTCATATATTATCACAGGAGGCCTTGGAGGATTTGGGCTTGAACTGGCTCAGTGGTTGGTTGAAAGAGGGGCAAAAATGCTGGTGCTGACATCTCGTTCAGGCATCAGGACAGGTATGTTGAGCAAATAATAGGGAAGACTGAGTTCCCTGATTCCAGATTGGAAATGCAAATTTTAGTTTTGCTCTTGGCAAAGGTTACATTTGAGTCGAGACAGCAAGGAGTGGTTCGAGAAAGCTTAAGATGGAATTGTGAAATAATTGTGTGATAAACCTTTCATACTGCTAAAAGAAATTAGCAGTTCATATGGAGCAAGAGCAAAAAATGTACTTTTAAAGAATCTTAACAATTAAGGGAAAGGGAGAATATACTAATTACAACATAATTCTTGTGGAAAAAACCCCAATCCTTTTTCGGATTGGGAGGGAAGGAGGGAAATCAGAAATAAAAATTAAATTATGGAAGTTAATGTAATTAAACTGTGAATTATACCACCTTTAAGATCTTGCATGCAAAGATAAGGAGAGAATACAGTACTGTTAAAGTACTAAGAAAAAAAATCACATCAATATTTTGAACAGATTTTTGCACACTCACACAAAGACTTCATTTCCTGTTATCCCTAGTAACAAGATTCTTTTTTAAATATATATTTTTATTGAAGAAATTTTTAACAAAAATATAAAAGCAATACAAGAAAATAAGGAAGAATGGTGTATAAGTAAGAAAGAAAACAAAGAAAAGAATATATATATATTCTAAAGAAGCAGTTTCCAATCTTTTTGCCACTGATTATAAATACATTTGTATTTTACTATATATATGTGTGTGTGTGTGTGTTGTACTTGTGCTGATATATGTATGTATGTATGTATGTATGTATGTGTGTGTATGTATGTATGTGTATATATATATATATATATATATATATATATATATATATATATATATATATATATATATATATATATGTGTGTGTGTGTGTGTGTGTGTGTGTATATATATATATATATAAATATATAAATATAAATAAATAAATAAATAAATAAATATATTTAAAGTCACAACCCCTGGTATGCCCAAATATGGGAGGAAGGTCACACTTCCATTCTCTATCCTTCGGCTCGTCACAAGAGACCATCCAGACAGAAACCCAATATTTTTTACTGTTGCCTTTTTGTTACATTTGTTATATTTGTGCTGATAAATAAATAAAGGGAGACTAGTATAGATCTATTTCAAGCTATTTAGCTCTCATCAGCTAGCCATACCCTTGCTGGGAATCGAACCTGTGCTCTATTGCCTCTTAGGCAGATGTGTTAACCATTGAGCTACAGAACTCGACTCCTTATCATGTATATATTAGATTTTTACAACCCCTGGTAAGCCCCAATTATGGGAGGAAGCTAACTGCTTCCATCATCTGTCAATCGGCTCGTCACAAGAGTCCATCACGACAGAAACCCAATATTTTTACTGTTGCCTTTGTTATATTTGTGTTTTTTTTAATTTGTGCTGATTTATGCCCTTTATTTATTTATCAGCACAAATTAAAAAAAAACCATATATATATATATATATTTGAATCACAATTTCATTTTTCCATCAAATAATGGTCAGACTCATAAATCACAAGCACATTTCCCCTCCTTTTTTCTTCAAAAAATCCATAAGGGGGTTTTCAGTCATTAATAAATGTTAAAGTTGATCTTTCTCTACAAAGTTAATTTTGCCAACTCCCAGTAATGTAGGCTTATCTCAGAAAGAAACAATGATGTATTCTATGATTATCAGTAGGATCATTATGATCATAAAAATGGATTTATTTCCCCATTTGGCTATCAGACATGTATGTGCATGTAAAACAGAAGAGAAATTCCTGCTTCTTCTGTTTACCTTCATGAGCAGAATGGGAAAGTAAATTTTGTTGTCATTCAGTTGCTAAGTTGTGTCTGACTCTTCTCAACCCCATGGAGGACAGCATGCCAACCCCCTGCCCATCCTCCACTGTCTCCAAGAGTTTGCCTAATTCATATTCATTGTGTTGATGATTTTATACCCCAAAATATAGCATAATTGCAGCTAGATTTCAGACTCTCCTAATTTTCAGGTTATCAGGCTAAACGAGTACAAGAATGGAAACAGCTTGGAGTCCAGGTTCTCGTGTCAACCAGTGATGTTGCTACTCTTGAGGGAGCCCAGCAGTTAATACAAGAGGCTTCTCAACTAGGACCTGTTGGGGGTATTTTCAATTTGGCGATGGTGAGTGACAGGCTATCGGCATGGCCATAGTTCTGTTAATTTCTTCTCTGCTATTTAATTCTCTTCAGATTCATTTTATTTGACTGTTTATTGTGAACCACTCTAGAAACAGAAAGCTCTGACCTCCATCCCCAAAGATTTGACTATTCTTGTGTCTTCCATTTTTTTAAAACCTTTACTTTATCCTATTTTCTCATCAGTTTTCGGATTTTAAAAAAGTGTGCCTGAAAAACAATGAACTTTTTTGCAGATACTCTTCCTAATTTATGTATATTTTGTAGACAGTTTTGCTTAGGGTACATAATTTGGCAAGCATTTTTAACAGATACAGTGCTTTAAGTATGTTGTTTCGCTAACATAGTTTTTGAGGCAGTTATGTTTGGTGAAAGTTTTTTTTTTTACCAAATATATGCAATTTTGAATATGTTTTTTTTTTAATTGAAATGTAGTGAAATGTAATGCTCTGGCAGTGTGTGGCTGTTTCAGTTTATGTAGTGTTAATTAGATGGGCTCATCTTAACCTGTGAGTGAATATCTCCATATCTAATCTTCAGCATGCCTCAGCCAAAACCATAATCACATAGTGCCTCAAACAAGAGAAGTAATCAAATGATTTTTTAATTTTTTCCCTAGAGTTTGAATTGAGGAGGAAAGATTGTAAGGGAAAAAAAGAACACTGCAATAATATGGAAAAAGATATATTGGACATTGGTTGAGTAGAAACACTAATATATACTTCACCATTATCTTGGTTGGATCATTATCTTAGAGCAGTCTAGATTTTATCTTCAAAGACTTGTTTGTCTTTCTTAAAAATATCAATATTAAATAACTAACAAAGGGCTCATATGTCTGAGAACTGGTGGTGGTTTCACTCTTGCCTGCAGTGCTAGAGGATTGCCTAATTCTTTTTTCATCTGCCCCACCCAATCAATAGTTACTTTTTTCATTTCCATAAAATATGCACATTAACTGTAAAGATTATTATAAGGTAGGTCCTTACTGTATAGCATAGTAGTTTTGAAATGGGAGCAAAATATTTTTCTAAGTTTGAGAGATCATATTTATTGCTGTTTCTATAGGTGCTGAAAGATGCTATGCTGGAAAATCAGACCCCAGAACTTTTCTGTGATGTCAACAAACCCAAGTATTTGGGCACACTTAATTTGGACCAGTAAGTAGCATGCAAAGAATAGCATTTGAAGAACTTAAAGCGGATAATGGTAATCAAGTGGAGCATCTCTTTGAAAGTAAATAATAATCTTGTTTGTTTTCTTATTCCAGAGTAACCCGCCAAATGTGCCCCAAACTGGATCACTTTGTAGCCTTCTCTTCAGTAAGCTGTGGAAGAGGAAATGCTGGCCAAAGTAATTACGGTTTTGCCAACTCTACTATGGAACGTATCTGTGAACAGCGGCGACATGACGGCCTTCCTGGTAATAATCATTTTTCCACCTTGACAAATTGGATTTATAAAGACATAAATTAAAGTAAGATTAGATAGACTTAAGTACATGTCATTTGATTTCTCCCACACATTACCACATCCTTATGCTCATAAACAATAATATTCTTAACTTGTTGTTTTATGCCTGTCCTCTTTAATAACTACATCTTCTTTTTTCCCTTCAGGTCTAGCAATCCAGTGGGGTGCCATTGGTGATGTAGGAATTGTTTTGGAGACAATGGGCACAAATGACACTGTGATTGGGGGAACTCTACCCCAAAGGATCAGCTCATGCTTGGATGTGTTGGATCACTTCCTCAACCAGCCTCACCCTGTCATGTCCAGTTTTGTCTTAGCAGAAAAAATGTTGGCCAAAAATGATGGGGGTAGCCAGAGGGATCTTGTGGAAGCTGTTGCTCACATTCTTGGTTAGTATCACTGAGAACAGCAAGTTCAGGGCCATCTAATCATGAGGAGAATGCTGAGCCAGAGGACAGGAATGGTGGCAGAGGAGCCATGTCATCTAAAAGGGGGTGGGGTGGGAAATATGTATTGTACCCTAAGTAGGTTAATTGTAGATTTGAAATAGTTCTGCATGCAGCTTATTGTTTATTCCATTTTTTCACACAATCCATTGCTATTATTCCATAATTTCATTTAGTTGTTTGCAAAGTATACTGTGATCCTGATTTAAACATGCATCCTACACTTATGAAATTAGCAGAAAGTCAGGTTTGTTATTTTCTGAAGAAGATTTCACAGAGCTGGGGAGCTTCTGCAAGAAGCGTGTATAGAGATTAGTAATGAAGATGTTACTAAGTTACAGATGGAGAAATTGAGGTTGCTGTAGGTCAAGTAATAGTAGATGTGGGAGAAAGAAAAATCAGTAATGCAGAGGAGTGTCTGTAAAGATGTGAACTGATATAGTACTTTTCTCTTCTTGAAAATATAAAAGAAGGCAGAAAATAATAAGAGTTACCAAAACTGAAGCCCAGAACCAAAATAACACCACAAATTATCTATAAAGAACATGCATAGGCTGGAGTTTCTAAAATAAGAAATTAATATAAAATGACTTGGTAGAAAGTTACAAGTGAAAAGGATTAATTGCTGAAATAGTGTAGGCTTTCCAGCTGCTCATGTTATAACATGATTTAAATGCTAGTCATGATTTTTTAAAACACAAGGATTTTTGCTGAGAAAGCAACATTTCCTCTTTCCCATTCTCTTCTCTCCATCCCTCCCTTCCCTTCTCTCTCACTTGCTGTGTGCTATTGCTTTGATTTGCATGACTCAGTCAAGATATGACCCTTGGATAGCCGATAATGCCTTGTGTTGTTCCATGGCAAATGTTCTTTATATATATGTAGCCATTGCTGAGCTCTTTCACTTTTTAATTTACTTTTATTCATTTTTCTTCATATACATTTATATTTCATCCTTAGTGGATCAGGGGTTGTCTGAGGTTTTGCAAGTTCCTTCATTTCTAAAAGTTAGGATGGAAATCTGAGGGCTTGATGTCATGTCATCTGAGAATATGCAGTTCTCAAGGTCTTAGTTTCTCTTAAACTGCCTGTGTAACTGTGTATTGCAAAGATAGAGAAGAAACGGGGTAGTACAGAAAAGGTTAAGCAGTGTAGCAAACTATCCCTTTGGTTCTGAATCCCACCCTCCACCAAGATGTCTCATCATCCCAGATGCCTCCCAGATAACTTCTCTCATGGGTTAATGACCTTTTTCCAATTCCATATCCTCGTTAAATTTTAAACAAAATGATTTGTAGAATGTATATACAAAAAGTTGAAATGTCGCTGACCACACTCAAATAACTGTACTTTAAATATTGCCTAAAAGATAGCTGCCCTATATCTCAAATCATGTTTCATGCATTCCATTAGAATTATATAATAGCAATCCCATCAAGAGATGCCAAGTCAGTAAAATGAGAAAAGCTGTCAAACAAGTGCTCAATCTTGAAGAGACAGCCTAAAAGGGCCGTTCCTATATGACATTAAGCAAGCTTTTCTTTTCTTCAGGTGTTCGTGATGTGAACAGTCTGAATGCTGACACCTCTCTGGCTGATTTGGGTTTGGATTCCCTGATGGGAGTTGAAGTCCGCCAGACTCTGGAGCGGGACTATGATATTGTCATGTCAATGAGAGACGTACGATTGCTTACCATTAACAAACTACGGGAATTTTCCTCTAAATCTGGGACTCAGGACAGTAAGTGTGTATATCAACTAGACAGACCTGGGTATTTTATAGCCCCAGGCCACATCCAACCCTTTGGTTGATCCTGCCCAGCCCCTTTGGATTGCTTTTATTTAGAAGGCGACTGCTATTTTTTTTCTTCAGTTTAAATATGTGCATGGATGCTGGTCTAAGCACCTTCATGGCCCTCTTGGTTCAACCCTCCACAACAGTCTTAATTTTTTGTTTAAGTTTTTAAGATACATTTTTATTGTTTCATATAAATATATTGAATACAGTGTAATTGTCCTGGCATTCCACTTACCATAAAACAAAAGTAAAAACATATGTACTATTTTAAACAGTGATGGTGTTGTACAGTAGTTTCTGACCATCATATTCCAGTAGTCTTAATTTCTCTTGTGGCCTCTTGAGAAAATTAATTGCCAACCCCTGACCTAGCATCTGTCCCACTTTTAATGATGACAGAAAAAAAAACATAAAAGCAGATAAAACTGTTTTTTTCCCAGGCAATATTTTACCCTGAAGTTTATGTATGAGCCATAGTCTGAATGTCAGGGGTATGTTCTTTTATCTAAAAGCAAAACTACATGGGAACCCATTCTCAGAATTTCTGAATCAGAGTTGGCTTGAATCCTAGAGGTTCAGAAGTCAAAGTTTTTTAAAAAAATATTTAGGCTTGTGCCTGTCTTATAAACTTTGTACTTCGCTGTGTTAATGTATCTGTATCTTATCTTTAGTATTATCCCAGGAAACCAAAGCCAGAGTGGATTTGAATAGTCTCTTGGTTAATCCAGATGGACCAACAATAATACCACTCAATGAGGTGAAGAACACTGAGTCTCCACTCTTCCTTATTCATCCCATTGAGGGATCCATCGCTGTCTTCAACACCCTTGCCTCAAAGCTCCATATACCAAGCTATGGGCTCCAGTGTACCAAAGGTAGCCATTGTATTTAACACATTTATCAAGTCTCCAGACGATACGATAACACACTGCTGTGCTGATATATAAAGATTTCATTAAAAAAAAAACAAATTATAAGCAGAGGAAGACAACATCTTCTATGTTTTATCAAAATTCATATTAGGCTGGCTTGGATTTTTATTGCAGGATGATAAATGTGCTAGTCGAGTGCCTGACTCTTTTTCTTAACTTTGTTGTTTTCTATCATTAGCTGCTCCATTGGACAGTATACAGAATCTGGCATCCTATTACATTAACTGTATAAAAGAGATACAGCCAAAAGGCCCTTATCGAATTTCTGGATACTCCTTTGGTGCCTGTGTAGCCTTTGAAATGTGTTGTCAGCTCCAAGCTCAGCAAAATCCTAGCTACCTACCCAACAGCCTCTTCCTGTTCGATGGCTCTCACTCCTATGTAGCAGCACATACTCAGGTAAGAGAGTCAAGGTCTAGTTACCAGTATCCCTTGGCAGATCAGCAGTAGCATGTACCTATTTTGTTGCGCATGCACATAGCACTCAATTTATGAGATGACATCACTTCCTATTCCAACAATGTCTTCTGTAATACAAATTACCATAATATTCAATTGTTACCTCATTGTTTGACACTGGATTCTTCAGGAAATATTCCTATTCTGGAAGAGTTCATAATTAGAAATTATCTCAGTGTAGTAGCCATTTTTAACTTGTGTGTAGTTTCCTAATAATTTTAATTCTTGGCTTTTATCATTATATTCTGTGCATTTAAAATTCTTGTCATGAAAATTATCTTTTGAATCATTCCCCATTTCCAGAGTTATAGAGCTAAGCTAACCCCAGGAAATGAAGGTGAAACAGAGACAGAAGCAATGTGTGCCTTTGTCCAGCAGTTCTCTGGCATGGAGTACAATAAGGTAATGATAGTTGATACTGTTCACTGTTATAGAACATATGCATACATGTAGACATAACAATATTTACTATAAGAGTGTGTGTGTGTGTGTGTGTGTGTGTTTCCCTTTAATAAGTACACCGTATTTTGTAGTAACACTTTGATTGAAATATATATATATATATATATATTCTGTATTATTTGCAGTTGCTGGAGGTTCTTTTGCCCCTACCAAATTTGGAAGCTCGTGCTACTGCTGCAGCAGACCTGATTACTCAAAATCACAAAGATATCAGCCATGAGGCACTCACTTTTGCTGCTGTTTCCTTTTACAACAAACTAAAGGCAGCAGACAAGTATGTACCAGAATCCAAATATCACGGCAATGTGACACTGCTGAAAGCAAAAACCCACAATGAGTATGGAGAAGGTCTTGGAGGAGACTACAGGCTTTCAGAGGTTAGTCTGAAAAATTACATGACCATGGCTTTTCACCTAGTAAGTTTTCTCATCTTAAAGAAACTTCAGCTGCACTCCTGATGTGTTACAAGTAGAAATAAGTCGTATTAATTTCGCTCCTACTATATGCCATGATTCTCCCAAAATATTGTTGTTATTATTATTATTGTTGTTGTTGTTGTTGTTGTTGTTAAAATAAGAACTTATTTTAACCAAGCTAGATAGCCAAGAAAAAGAATATAAAATCACTGTGAACTCTTATCTTAAGTGCTTAAGAGATTTTCAAGAACAATCAATCACTTTTCATTCTTAACTGCCATACTTTCCACAATGGAATAATTGCAAGTATCACACCAAAGCTTATCTAAATAGTGCACAGAAAAAAAAAATAGTAAAAAAAAAAGTAAAATAAAGATTCTCCCTTTCTTCATCATTAAAGTTAGAATGAATAGTGAATCACAGGATGAGATCTACATGGTATCTTTTCTTACCTCTTGACCTTTTTGGCACTCTTCCATAATTGCCAACTTTGAAGCAACTATATATATGATGCCACTGTCTGTATTGATTTGATGCAAATATAGCCACAATCTACCCAGTATTCACTATAGCTAAAGATACAGTTTAATGGTTTCTAAGAATGGATATGTGAAAGAAACGGGAATAAAAAGACCTTGCTTTTGTTGTGACTGATTAAAAGAGATCCAGAAAAGAAATATGGGAAGAAATCTAGAGAAAAGAGCCAGCATTACATGGGAAGAACATTTAAGATCTCAAGCAAGCATTTCTGGCTGAAATTTGTAATGTTTTCTTCTACATCTTTATACCCTTTTCAGGTCTGCGATGGGAAGGTGTTTGTCCATGTTGTTGAAGGAGACCATCGTACTGTCCTAGAGGGAGAAGGTGTTGAATCTATCATTGGGATCATTCACAGCTCAATAGCAGAATCTCGGGACAGTGTTCGAGAAGGCTAGATACTTCTGAAGGCTAGATAACCCCAAGAACTTTGTCATCTGCTCTACAGCCAAGCCTAGGAAGTCTTATTGAATCAGCATCTCTTTCCAGTACAGTAACATTCTTGTTGCGCAGTTGCAAGGAACAATTCTGAGGGCAACAATCTACATCATTTGGCAGAGAAACACAAAATTAGGAGCAGATGTGTGTATGTGTGTGTTGTACTATGTATTGTATTGTATTGTTGTCTAGAAGTATTCCAAAGGATAAAATGGAATTAACCAAGTCCAGTGACCAAGGATGGAAGCTACAACTGATTTTGGAGACACATATGTCTGTGAAGAGTCAGTCTGTAGCAATAACAGTACATTAATTCCACTGAGGCTCTTTTGTACCTATTATTTTTAACTTGAAATAGTCTAGGTATTTATTGCATTGTTATTTTACTAGAGGTGCATTGTTTTAATTTGTAACTGACTAAACAATAAGAATGAAATACTCTATTTAAGAGTATATTTTTCTCCTGCTTGATCATCTTTTTTTAAAAAAAGAATTAAACTAAAATTTCTTTTAAACTCATGTCATTTAGAAGGAAAGGAAGGTTCCCCACACAAGCAAAGCCTTTCTCTGCTTTGCTTAGTATGGGCTTCTTTTGCAAAATTGCCAAACTTTTATTCAGGTTCTGATGTAAGGATACGGTAATTCTGGGCATATATAAATATATATATTGGCCAAGAGTGAGATCAAAACTTTAAATACTTTGTTCACTTATTTGGGAATGCATAAATTAAGTATATACAATCTTCCAAGCCCAATGTAAACATCTTCCCAAAATGCTTTTCGTTTAGTTTGTTTATTCCCTATTTGCTTATTTCCCTATTTGATTTACAGAGTTTCTTGTTGACAAGAATCTGAATCCTTCTTTCCCCATTCTTCAAGCAGAACCTGGTGGTAATTTTCAATATCTGCAAAACTTCCTATGTAAAAATAATTTAAAAATTATTGGAGTTGATTACATTTCTTCTTTTATTTTTGCCTCTTTTGTGTTTGAGATGAAGAGTCAGTGCATTTCTGCTGCAGTAATGATACAGTGGAGATACTCTGAAAAACCAGCAATGAGAAGGTCTGTAGTGCCTCTCCAAACTCTTTAGAGTCCAGTTTCTCAACTGGATTATTTTACTAGCATCGGGGCACACATATTTCATACTTGCTGAGAAGGAGTTGGCTAGCCATCCTCTGTGGACATGCAGCTAGAGGCACGCTTTTAGTTCTTAATTAAGAAGTCTTTCGAAATCAAAAATGGAAAAAAAATGTCCATTGTGTTTGTGCTTTCCCCCCTTTTTTGTTTACATTAGGAAAAACTATGCATCTTTTTTTTCTGCAGCTGTTCTTGAATTAAACACTTTAAATCTGCCATATCGTTCATTGTTTATTTTTACATATCTTCCACTTTGCTTTAAAAAAAAAAATAGATCTTGACATATTCAGATTGGAGTAGTTGATTGACCGCACATACATGTTTCCCAAGTATCTTAATCTGTGTTTTCCATATACTTTAAAATTTAAAGCTGGTAAAAACAAAAATTATGCCACAGTACTGTAGCATATGAATACCAATAGTAACTTCTCAGCAGGCTTTTGATAAGCAAGTCAATGGGAGAAGCCAGATTCACTTAAGAACCACATGCTTTACTTAAGAGCGGCAGTCATTCACTTAACTGCAGCAGAAAAGGTCATAAAATGGAGCACAATTCAATTGTCTTGCTTAGCAATGGAAATTTTGAGCTCCATTATGGTCATAAGTTGAAGACTAACTGTATTTACAGGAAAATTTCCTTCTGAAGGCAACCATTAAACCATCAGCATTAAAATATGTTTTAAAGGGACATTATCAGAAGTTATTCTGCCTCATAATAAATAAACAATAACAAAACTGAATAAATTACCCATAAGATTATTCCAAATTGCTTTTGCACTAAATTCCTAAAATGCAAGGTTCCACTGGCTGCTTCTAAAAACATTTCAACACAACATTATAAAGATTACATAAGCACATATTGCATGATTTGTGCTACTCACACCACTTTTTAAGCATCGTCACTTGCTCCACAGCTATTGTCTAGCAAGAACCACTGATTCACTTTTGAATGTTGCTTGTTACATTCAGTTTGCCAAATGCCAAGACTGGAACCTAAAACAACTACTGGGACTTAGATGTCAGGAAATAGTAACCTGTTCTGACCCCCCTCTTCGCTCGTTCACAAACGACAGTCAGACCGAACTTCAAAGGAAATGTCTTTATCAGTCCTGGCTCAAGCTGGCTGCGAGTCCAAAAATAAACGTAGATAAAGTCTCTGGCAAAAAGTTACACAGCAAATGCAAAAACAAAAACTCTTACAGCAAACCAGGTTTACAGAAAGCAAATCACTTATCCAAGTGCCTCTTTGAATCATGAAACTGAACTCACGAACAAACGATGAACCACGAATGATGAACATTGACTTCTGCAACTAAGGCATGGCACCATCCGTCTTTTATCTGCAGGAGAAGACCCTAACGAGCAACAGCTGCTCATTCCTGCATCCCAAAGCAACTCACAGCAAGCTTCTGCTGAGTCACAACAGTAACCATAGTTTTGCACTGTTTATTGCAAGACAGCAAGGTCATGTAAACTCTATTTGGTATCAATATTTTTTTAATAGAACTTGCTCAAATAAATACCTAATGCCACTCTTGTAACAGTCTCATATATAACTCACTGGGTGTATGTATAAATTAATGTAAAATTAATCATTATGTTGTCAGAATCAGTTGAGTCACAAATAGTATTTGAATAAGCTGTCTGTTTGAAATTCTCACAGGCAGTGCATGGTACCGCTTGCCAGGTAGATGGATTTACAATAATTTCACCACAATCCAATTTACTATGCCTCCTCTTCAGGCTTCTCTTTAAAGTATCGGCATCTTTCCATCTTATCCCATAGCACAATGACATGTCAGGATGTTCCTGCCTTGTATTCCAAACCACTGGCTGCTATTGCTTCTGCATACTAAAAGGCATCAAGCAAAGATGTATGGTAGTCCTCAGGTTACAACCACTCGTTCAGTGATGATTCAAAGTTATGATGGTGCCGAACAAGGGGGACTTGCTATTAGCCACAAAGTTGGAGCTGTTGCAGCATCCCTGTGGTTATATCATTGCGATCTGAGTGCTTGGCAACAGTTGCAGTGTCCTGTGGTTATGTGATCATGACTGACTCTCACTTGCAAAGTTAACAGGTAAGTTGCGCATGCTCCTGTAGCTTTTTTGCCTCCCTGGGCATCTATATCCACCTGCACTCTATGGCACTTGCCCACAGCACCTGCCCATCCTGGGCACCCACTCGTATTCCACAGTGACTGCCTACTCGGTGTAGTGCTACCTGGGACACCTGCATACCCACCCATGCTTGGTAGTGCTGTCCATTATATCTGTCTCCATTCTTTCACATCTGCCTATGAATTTGGCTGTCCATTCTTAGCTGTCATCCACAGCTCTCACCTGCCAACCTCTTCCCATATGGTCAGGTGAGGCCCTCATTTAATGACCCATGCAGTTCTGGGGTTATGACTGCAACCAGGAAGCTGGAATTGCCATTAACAAGCCAGGGTGGTGCAGTGGTTAGAGTGAAGTTATGCAGGCTACTTCTGCTGCCTGCTGGCTGCCTGCAATTTGGCAGATTGAATCTCACCAGACTCAAGGTTGACTCAGCCTTCCATTCTTCCGAGGTGGATAAAATGAGGACCCAAATTGTTGGGGACAATATGCTGACTCTGTAAACTGCTTAGAGTGGGCTGCAAAGCACTGTGAAGCGGTATATAAGTCTAAGATCTATTTGAAGTCTAAAATAGAATGTATAAGAGACAGGTTGTATTTTACAAATTACACTTTACCTAGTGCTGTGATTTCAGCCTGCAAACACAATGGACAGTAGAGTACGAGGCACAGGGTTCACCATTAGATCTGACTATCCCTTAATGTTAGCATTTATTGGTAATAGGGTTTCTTGACAATAAGTCAGGAATTACAAACCTGTAGGCTTTAGTACACCGTGTGTGTCATGTTACTGAAATGGACAAGTCTGAAATGTTTATGATATCAGTTTTGCCCCAAATTCTTCCCAAATAACAAAATAACAAAATAAGCATTTAAGATCTGCTGTCTCCACTTCCAATCACTAGCCACGTCCTCTATTGTCTCCCATGTCAAAATAAGACTGTTCATCCCAGCAAATAGAGTGAATTACCTGAAGGTTAGGCTTGAACAGCATAATCAGATTTGAAAAGGATCCAGTGCTGTGGCTAATGGTATCAAGAATATAAAAATGAAGCAGTAAACTAGGGAAATGGAATACGGCATTCTGAGTCGCCAATGCTGCATCATCATTATACTGAAGTTTGAGGTTGAAATACTTCTCTGAGTATATAAAATATAAAAGTAAATACTTTTAAATAAAAAGACTTATCCTTTATTTGGCACACTATCGGGAGATTCTATTAATACTGCATATTACAGGACAGGACATGAGCATCTCACATACCAACAAAACAATCACCTCAGAATTGAGTGAGAAAAACGACAGGTAGTCTTCAACTTACAATAGTTCATTTAGTGACCGTTCAAAATTGCAATGGCAATAAAAAATGACTTATGACCATTTTTCACACTTTCACACACTTATGATCATCATGTGATCTAAATTCAGAAGCTTGACAATTGACTCTTCTTTATGACCCTCCCCTGGGGATCATGTGATCACTTTTTGTAGCCTTTTGACAAGCAAAGCCAACGGGAAAGCCAGATTCACTTAACAACCATATTACTAATTTAACAACTGCAGTGATTCATGAAACTGGCGAGAAAGGTCATAAAAGGGCAAAATTCACTTAACAAATATCTCATTTAGTAACATAAATTTTGGGCTCAGTTGTGATTGTATGTTGAGGACCACCTGTATTATCCCTTTCTAACTTGATCCTGGCCATGCTACAAAATGTTCTGGAGAAGATTATATTTCTACTTTGCCCCTAGAACCTTGCCTTCATCATCACCCCAGCCTGAGACTCTTGTCAGCTGTTACCAAGATAGAGGAGCATTTCCTCCTCATCTCCATTCTGTTGAAAAGCAACCTCAAGAGTATAAAATCTGAAGGGCTTTGCCACCCACTAAGTGACAGGGCTGTAGTGACCTGAAAGGGAGGGAGGAGAGATCCTGGCTGAGTTTTCAGCAGACCCCTAAATGAGTCTTTCCCCCAAGGGTGCTTATTCTGGAGGCAACTGGACTTCTTATTTTTTATTTTGGAAGACATTTCATCTCATCCAAAAAGCTTCTTCAGCTCTGACAGGATAGTGGGAAATGGAAGGATTTAGATTCCTTCCAGACAGCTGGTCATTTGCATCCTTTTAGAGGTCCTTGAAGCACTTGGAGGTTAATCTGTGTCTTCAGGGTCATCTGAGTGGTGCTCCTGGTTCCTGTAGTAATTTTTTTTCTTTGGAAATCCATTCCTACTCCCACACCATTCAAAGGGTGTTCATGCCAAATTGCATAGCTAAAAGTCTGTAGAGTAGAAGTCCAGTTGCCTCCAGAAAAAGCACCTTTGGGATAACCATGATGACCTGGATGATTGAGAATCTCTACAGAGTCTTTCCCCGTAACCCTAACCCTACGTTTCTTTTCTTTTCGCGGTGTAGGGTTTCCTGCCTAAGCAGGGGGTTGGACTAGAAGACCTTCAAGATCCCTTCCAACTCTGATAGTCTTTATTCTATTCAATTCTCTCTGCCGGGGAAGCCGACTTTCCTCAGCTCAGTACCGGGCGACTACAACTTTCAGGGAGCTGGGAAGGAACGGGGAGTTAGGGCTCCTCTCATTTAACCGTTGACGTCCTTGACTAATCCAATCGCCTGAATTCCCTTACGCGCTAAAACACAAATTCAGCCATGAGATACCCGACCCTCGCTAAGTATAAGAAGCATCGCCCCGCGATAAAAGCAGGAAGTTCCTCTCGCCGTTTTTCCTTCCGGCAGAGGAGGGTGGCTTTGCCGGGCGGCCGGGAAGAAGCCGCCCGGCCTCTTTCTTCCGCGCTGTCGTTTCCGAGGGGGGCCGGTTCGAGGTTACGCCCTCCCACGCGGGCCGGATTGAAATGACGGGTGCGTTCTCTGAGGGGGATTCAATGGCCCCGCCTGGGCTCAGCCACGCCGCCTCAGGGTCGGGTGCCATCGGGGCTCCG